AAAAGAAAAAAAAAATCTCGGATGGCAGTTTAAGAAACAATAGGACGAACGGGAGCTGCGGCGGGCTCCGCTACATCAAGTGTCATTTTCCAGTGACAAGAGAGGCAAGTTTCCCCCCCCTCTTTTTTCCCCTCTCTCTTTTCTTTCTTTTCTCCCTCTTTCTTTTCTTCTCTCCCAGCCGAAGCGCTCTCTCTCCTCCCTCTTTCAGCCGAGCAGGAAGCGAGTTGCTGGAGCCGGGCGCACGCCGGGAAGGGAGCGGGAAGGACGGACGGACGGACCGAGGGAGACCCCGGGGCTCCCGGTGCCCGCGCCCCCTCCCTCTCCCGCAGCGCCGGGCGGACTCGCCGTCTCTCCCTATGGGAGCCACTTTGACTGTCCCCGCCGCCGAACACGAGCCCCGCAGCCCCGGCGGGCGGGGGGCGGGGCCTCGGAAGGCCCGCCCCCCCCTCATTTGCATCGCGTCACCTCTTCCCCCTCCCTCCCTCCGCCGCCCCTCCGCCAATAGCGGCTCGCGCTACGCGGCCGCGGGGGCGAAGCCACGCCCCCTCATTAGCATCCCCCGCCCAGGAGCTCCGGCCGGCCCGGGGGAAAGTTGCCCCGAGCCCCCCGGGCTTCATTGATCCCAACGCGATCGCGCCTTTGTTCATCAAGGCGGCGGCCGCCCGCCGGGTCCCGCCGGGATCACCTCGGCCGCCCGTCGAGGGCCCGAAACCGAGAGTTCCCCCGGCGGCTGGCTGTGCCCGCTACCACGCAGCCACTTCCTTCCCCACCGGACCCCGGACGGGCAGAGCGGCTCAGCCCGGGACCGCCGCAAACCCCAAACCTCCACCGCATCCCCCCGCGTTCCACCCCGTTCCGGACAGCGCTGCGGTGCTGCGCGAGAGAAGCGCACCGCTTCCGACCGGGACGGGACAGCGGAGAAACTCCGATGTTGGCTTCAATCCCCCGGGGGAAATAATACCAACAAATAACATTCGCGGTCCCTGCCCTCTTTGGGAAAGCGCTGGGACGGCCGCTCCGTGCCCGCCCCGACCTCCCCCCGCAGCCCCTCCGCTGGCGGACCGCGGGCGGGGCCGCCTCCCGGGGGCTGTTACGGCACCGGGCGGTGCCTGCAGGTGATGCCACCCCAACCGCAGCCCCTGCGGTGTTGGCACGTGGCATAACCCACACGAGGGGCAGCCCGGCGGGGCTCCCCACCGCCTGCAGGGCAATGCCGGACCGGCAATGGGCCGGGTTGATTCTGAATTAATTGTGGCTTCGCCTGCTGCCCCCATGCCCACTCCGAGCCCTTGCAGCTGGGCTACACCAACTCCCATCCAGAGCACGGCCAAGGGCCTCAGAGTTGACCCAGAGAACAGAGTCTAGCTACAACTACCCTTGCACAGCTCCATAAGCATCCCCAGGCATTCTGAGAACTCTATAGGACCCTCTTCCCACCACCTATGTACATCACTACATGGGCAGTGACTGTTAAACCTCAGTTACCCAGCCCAGCAGCAGGCACACAGCCCCTGCCAGCACGCTGCTGGCACCAACAGCCACACCTGAGCCAGTGCTGTAGGGAAGTCCACACACAACTCATCCCCATTTCCACTGCGCTGTGTTCTCACACATGAGCTGCTGCAGAAAGCAAGTTTCCGCCTTCCCTGCAGCTGATATTTGAATTTTCATATAATCCTACTGTGTCACATCTCAGGGACACGTGGAAGAACACAGCCATAGAGCCACGCATGAATATTTACGCCATAGGTATTGCATAGGAGCAGTTTGGCCCCTGCAGCGTTTCGGCTTATTGGTCTTCTCCAGGCTGCTGCTGCAGTGGTTGTATCGTATCCAGCCTAAATGCCTCCGTGGTGAGATACATTTTGCAATTAAAAGCTATTTGCACCTGCACTGATTGCTCCTTTCCCAGGGCAGGGAGCTGCCAAGGGAGGAATAATGCGTTTGAATCGATATTCTGAGCAGTTGGCACAAATCTGTTATGGGGAATGGGGGAGCATCTCCATGCCTTTTCCTGGATGCTGAAGGAGGAGCAGCACAGCATGGGCTGAGGGCACCTCTGCTGGGCAGGGACAGCACTGTGACAGCAACAGGGACAACTTCCCCCCACTTTCTTCCTTGGACACACACACTGCACTGGTGATGTGGCAGCAGCTCCAGCCAAGAACCAATAGGGTGGGGGCAATGCTGCACTGGGCTTAGGGCAGCCTCAGAGCCACCGACAGCACTGCAAGCAGCAAAGGGTTAAAGCCCAGCTCGACCTCCACAGGGGAATGTGAAAGGAAAGCAGAGCTGGAATGGGGGGAGAGTGAGATATTCAGGAATGGGCAAAAAAATAAAGCGGGGAGGGCTGGTAGCTGGCACTGAGACTGCAGTGCCCCATTCACGCTGCAGGAGCCAAATGCTCCATGCTGGGGCTTTTAAGCAAAGAATTCCCATGCAGTTGGCTCTGACTTTTTGCAGGCCGGGTTCTGGTCCATGGCCCGAGCTCACCTGCCCTGCTGCTGGATCTACAGAGCTGCCCTGTGCTGGGACACGGCCGTGGGTGCTCTCAGTGTACGACACACAGCAGAACACACAACCTACAGCTGCCATCTGCTGCCGCTGGGGATGGGCCTTGCTCCCCAAATGAGCGACAGCCACGCGGGGATTTTATCCTCACAGCATAAACTCATGGGACACACCTTTGCTTCACCAGCAAGGACAGCTTAAAAACAGGGCGAGGGAGAGACACGGCTGCAGTACCCACAGTTGTGGGAACGGCTATCAGAGTGATCCCAGCATGGGGAGAGAGCATCCCAACTAGGCACCACAGAGGATGCACAAACGCCCTGAGAGGCTGCAGATCCCAATGCCTCCTGCCACGGGAAAGCCTCTCCTCCCCAGCAGCACTTCCACGTAGGCCCAACACCCTGCTCACCCCTGGCCTGGGTGTTTTCTATCCTGTCTCAACAGAACAGCCCTACTTCCCCTCTATAGGTCCCAACACAGGGAACAAGGGGTTGGAAATGGGAATTGCTGAGAGAAAAGCCCCCTGTTCCCTCCTCCACACCCCTCACCAGAGGACAAGGCACCGTATTGCTCTGCCCAGAGAAGGGAGATGGGCAGCTGGGCTGCGCTGATGGGAGAAAGGGAAAACAACTTCTGGCTTTGAGCTGGGACCAAGGGGCACAGAGCACTGGGGGCTGAGCATTTACCTGCGTTTTATGCTGGTGTGGAGAAAAGGGCTTGGGAGCATTTCACACATCACATCCTCCCCAGTAAAGATGCTTTGCACACGGTATTTTCTTACATCCACACTCCTGTGTTGATCCAAAGACTTCCCAGCCACAGACGAACCCGACGTCCTCTGGCAGGTGAGAGGGCTCAGCCACCGGAGGCATTTCATTCCTCCTACCCGACTCGTTCCTGCAGAGAATGAAAGAAAAGGGCTCATCCATGGGACCACGGAGCAGCGCAAGGCTTCTTGAAAGGTGCAGGGGGAAGGTGGGACCAGACAGAAGGGTGACAAGAGCCTGCTTTTCCACAGCTGCTGTGAAGAAGCATCAGCAGGAGACCTGGATAGGAGCACTGCGTGCAGAAACTTCCTCCTGCTGCACCCCTGCCCTGGGGACGGCCCTCAGCTGGGACAGACGTATCCCCGCCGTGCCGGTAAACCCTTACGGAGGCACACAGGGCGCATCGCCAGAGCTCAGCCCTCAGTTCCCTCGGCAGCTCACCGGGAAACCACGGCGAGGAGAGCCGCACTCCCACGGCCCCCCGTGGCCCTCGGCGCTGCGCGGGGCGGGGCGGGCGCGGTGCGGGTCGGGGCCGCAGCGCCGCGTGGTTACAGCGCCACCTGGCGGCCACGTCGGGTACCGCCAGCCCAGGTCCCGCGGGGTGAGCGCGGCCCTACGGGTGAGGGAACGCAGCAATAGGAGACGCTTGTCAGGTTGGCCGCATTAATTCTGGGACTTGACCGCTCAGGGTTTGGCTGCTCTTGCTGACTTTTTCTCTGGAAAGAACTCCGGAAGGCCCCCATGATTTCAGCAGGAGTGGAACGAAGCTCATCACTGGGGCTCAGATGTGGCTGGAGCTGGGTGTAGACCCACAGCCAAAGGGACTTCGCCAAAACACAGCATAGCAGCACTTTGGTTAGAAAGGAGTTTAATACACAGAGAACTCACTTTTTTACATACCCTCCTGAGCTTTGGGCAGCCTGCAGTTCAAGTTCAGGCTCTGCCTTGTTCAGAATGAGGGATCCCTCTGGCTTTATCTCTGTGCAGAGTGAATGCATCCCGCCGCACCTCCTGTGTTCCTTCTCAGGATCTCTTCTCCAAAACATTCAGCATGTGAGCAAAAGCAGTTACAGTTCTGGGACAGCGACAATCAGAGTGACCCCAGCATGGGGAGAGAGCATCATTTCTACTGGGAACACCGTGTAGGCCACAGTCCTTCTAACTAACATGGGGTATCTCATCAGAGGGAAAGTGGACTGAAACACTGAAATACCCTCCTGAATAGGAAATTCTGGGAA